TTTTTTTTTTTTTGGTACCAGGCATAGAAACCAGGACTTTGTGCTTGCCAGGCAGGCGCTGAAACCGCAGAGCTATCTCCCTGGGGCCCGGGGGTATAGTTTTGAATAGCCATCCTGGGGCCAGATCCAGAACTCCCTAGTGTGTCATTTTTGCTGCCATCACCCAAACTGATACTTACACAACCTTATAAAGGAGGTGGTAATGCTGATATTGGAGATCCAGATGAAATATCCTGTCCATTTTCTCCGGGGTAGCAGGACAAAGGCTGAATCAGGATTCAACTTCATACCCTTTCCCTTTATGGTGTCCCAGTCTCTCTCCTTAAAACCCAATCCTTTTCTATTTCTCCCTCCTTGCCCATGTTATGGGTGGCTCAGGATAGGAACCAGATCAACCAGATTGGAATTTGGAAAGCTGTTTATTACTGAGCTCAGGGCCCCCAGGAAAGGACCGAAAGGAGGCTTACTCAGGAAGCAGGGAGGGGTTTTAAATCCTGGAACCATATTGAGTTTGATAAACAAATTTATTGTCTGACGCAGAATAATGCTTCTAGAATCATTGTGACCACTACTCAATAATGCTTTTAGAATCATTGTGACCACTACTCAAACTAATTTCCTAAGGCTTTTGTTTCAGTTCCTGGTTAATTTGCACCAGAGTACCTGCAGGCAGCCTTGCATAGTCCGGAGGTTACAAGAAGTTAAAGCCCATTTAGTTTTCTTTAACTCATCTCTGTAAGCTAACTTTGCCCACAGGAATTGGTGAGGGTTACAGGAATTTTATCTAGCAAAGAGCAAGAAACAGCCACTAGTTACTAAACAACTTAGAACAGTGGTGAGTATACATTTTTACATAATAGAAAACACAAGATTTACATTTATAGTCTAAAATGTGAGTTGATCCATTACAGCCCATAGATCTGCTCTGCTGCACCCAGCACCTCACCATTTTGAGCATTCTAATAATAGTCTTGACAAACACTTCTAAACCTCAAACTCCGGAAATTCTGAGCTCAGCCTCTAGTTCTTCCTTCCCTTGTTGGTTTCTAGCCCCAGGGATTTTCTCCCCGCCTTCATCACCACTGCCCACGCCTTAGTTCAAGACAGCCCCCTCCACTCGGTTCTCCCACAGCTGAACTTGGATTTTGTTTCCACCAGGAAATCACGGACTGGGAGTCCTAAACTTGAGATCAGATCTGAAGAGGGAACCAGCGGGGCTGGGCCTCTCCGGGCAGCTGCACCGGCGGGTGGGGAGCGGAGGTGTGGGGCGTGGACTCGCGAGGTCCCGCCCAGCTGAGGTCATCGGGCGCTATCCTCCCGGAAGCGCGGAGCTGGAAGCTTGGTCGGCGGGTGCAGGTCTGGTGGGCTCTCCAGCAGGTGCGTGGGCACGGTGGGCGGCTGGCGTCCTGCGAGACCCTCGGCCTGGAGGTCTTAAGTGAGGCGGCGCTGAGGGGCGTCCCCAGCGCGGCGGCGGGGCCCTGAGCTTCGGGCCTCGGCCGGGAGGTCACGGGCGCGCGCTGGCGTCCTGTGGGGGCGTCTGGGGGCGGGCTTGAGGGCCGTGTGGGGACGCGCATCGAGCCGCTGGCTCCTGGGCCAGCACCCTGCACGAAATATGGCTGTGCCTTGATGGAGAGCTGCCAGCCTGGTAGCCAACCTTTCAGAAGAAAAGAAAAAAGAAAAGAGAAATGGGTAGCATAATGCTTTTGCTAGATTTAGTCTATCACAATTTTTAAAAGACTGAAAAATGTTTTTCCTCATGGATTCAGTAGTTTCACTACTCGTCGAATTTTCTAAGGAAAATTGACGAGAGATTTGGCCTAAAATACATGTCCAAACAAACATTTCTCTTACAGTGTCATTGAAGTGATAGGTTTCTGCCCCAATACAATCCGCTAAATTATTATGGCCCTGATTCAGCATGGCTGAATTCCAAAAACAGCTTATCTTCCTAAGGACCTTTTCCTCCTCCTTCCCCAGTCCAGCCCCGACACACTTCCTTTTACCTTTTCTGTACACACAAGGGAAGCTCCAGTCAGCTCCTTGTTTGCCCCTAAACCTGCCTCTCAAGCTCTGCCCCTAGTAAATTTTCAGCCTCCCTCTTTCATGTCAGATGATTCTCCATTTACCTGCCCTAGATCCTCCCCTTATTTCTGCTTCTTGGCTGGGCCAGCCCATGGAAAAACCTAACAGAAGTAAACACTTTTTAATAACCAAGCATCCAATAACTTGGGATAGAATGAAAGAAACAGAGTTGATGTAAGGACTACAGATACTTGCAAACAGTAGTGACATAGAAAGTGTTAGAGGTTAAGTGAGAGAGTATGTCTATAAAATTAAGTAGCTTGGGGCCGGGGAGATGGCTCAGTAGGATAAGCGCTTGACTGGCAAACACTAGGATCTGAGTTCAATCCCCGGTTCAAAAATTAAGTAGCTTAAGGCTGGGGTGTAACTGTGGTGCAGTGTTAGGAGCTTAAAATTGCTTCCTGCTTAAAATTGCTTCCTATGTTGGGAGCCTCGGGGAATGAATTCCACCACCTGTTAACCTGGAAGGCACAGGGTAAGGTAGGGTATGGATGAAATTCAGGGGAAGAAGGGAGAGCGGTCCTACCCTTAGGCTGGGGTACCTTCATCACAAGGCAGCATACCCTTGGGACAGACATAGATTTGACTTACATTTTTAAAAATTGACAACTGCTGGCTGGCTGTGGATGCACACACCTGTAACCCCAGCACTCTGAGAGGCTGAAGGAGGAGGAAAACCTCAAATCAACTCCCATCCTGGGCAGTTTAGAGACTTGATAAGATCTTGTCTCAAAAAAAAGTTGGCAACTACTGGGAATTAAATCCAGCACTTAACTATTTATTAGTTTATTGTTAAATAATCTAAAGTATACTTTCCCTTTCTTTTGTTGTTTGAAGTGCCAGGGGTAAAACCTATTGTCTTGTTCATGGGAGGCAAGCAGTCTTCTCAGTGAGCTACACCCTGAGCTCTACTTTCTTTCTTTCTTTCTTGGAATTAATTTAATTTGTACAGGTGATTATGAAATATTAGGTAGTTTCATTTTCTTAAATCTGCTACTAGACCATGACTTAAAAAATGTTAATGTTGAAAGGTGGTGCAAAAATGTCTGTTACCAAAACTGCTTACTAATGTCAAACAGCACAAAACACTTATTTTCTTTTACAGATACCTTTCTAAATCCATTCTTGATGCTTTCTCTCTCCCTTTCAGAGAATCAGTCGTTCAGATTGATGAGGTGAAAAATCAATTTCTTTTAGAAAAACGAAGTAGAATCTATTTACAAACATACAAAAGAATTTTACATAAGGTGTTACAGCAGAACTAGTTAAAAGAGAATACAGCTAAGGGACAAAATATGCCCTAACTTCTACAAGTGCAAGTTCTTTCTTCTACTTTCTGGAAGAACTACATTTTTTGTAGGGCATGGGCTATATAAAAATCACATACACTGCAAAGACAGAAAAAAGAAGTTTATAAATCCTTTTTATTTCCAGCAGTTGAGACAACATATTTGAGGGCTGAGGTTACCTGTATGCTTATTTTTTCTTAGAAGTTGTTATTTTTATGTATTTTGTACAGTGTCTCACTGTACTCTTATTTTCAGCTTCCCCAGCTCTGGGGTTCCAGGCACACACTACTGTCCCAAGACTCTGTAACACTGTGGCCAGCTCAGCCTATCCTTTGGGTGGGGCTGGCACTGCATGTGGGGCTGGGATTGAACTACAGTCCTTGTGCTTGCCTAAGCTTGCCTAAGCAGTGCTTTAGTCTGCTGAGCTAGCTCGCCAGCCCTTGAACCACAAACTTGATGTGTAACTGAAGTTGGTTACATCTTCACCAAGATGTACATTATGAGGTTATATAAAGGGTTTGATTTTTGCTTCGTAAGACCAGAAATGAAAACCAACGCCCATATTATAAGCTAGGATAGTGTTGTTTTTGTGATTATAACATTGTAATATCTTTTTTTTTTTTTTTTTGAGACAAATGCTTACTATGTAGTCAGACTTGTCTTGAACTCACTGTGTGGACTAAGCAGGGCTCAAACTCAAGACAGTCCTTCTGCCTCATCCTCTTGAATGCTGGGCTTATGAGTTTGTGCCATCATGCCTGGCTGCAATATATTTTTCCTTTAATGCACAGTACCCCCCCCCTTAGTTTGCTTGTAGAAAGATCTAAATTCATTGTCAGCTGTATTCACTAAAAACTCTGACTTGAAACTTTTTAATTTCAGGATGACTGTGGGAATCTTTGCAAATTGTATTTTCTGTTTGAAAATTAAGTACTTACCTCATCAGCAGAAGAAAAAGCTGCAAACTGACATTAAGGAGAATGGTGGAAAAATATCTTTTTCATTAAATCCTCAGGTATTTTCAAATCTCATATAGTAATTACAGAATGATTGGGGAGTGTGGGTCATAATTACAGGAGTAAGCAGAGGGCATCTACAGTGCTAGAAAGTATGAGAAGGTAGGAGAAACTGCCATCTCCACAGAGAGCTGGATAGGAGAGGCAGTGAATGCCTATCAGCAGACCCTTCTTTGCTTTCTGGGAGCTGTGGGACAATTCCATGCCACAGGGGGGATCTGAGTACAGACAAAGCTTAAGTTGAATTTCATTCAGCTAACTCTGTTCTCCAGGGAGGGAATTTTTATTGCATAGCATTTGTGAAACACACTGAGTCACCAGTATGTCATCACTGAAATGACACCTTGGAATGTGGCTAATGGGGTAAAGGAAAATGTGCCATGTACACTAATCTTCTGTGATATAGCCTGACTGTTAGTCTTGTTTGTGTAAGGGCTGAAGGAAGTAACCTTCCATCTCCTGAACGGTAGGCCTAAGTGTTTAAGATATAGAAGTTAGTAGCTGGATGAAACCTTGGAAATAATTGAGACTAATCTCTTTATGAACCACTTTGTTGTACAAAATAACTAGGTGCAAAGGCACAGGTTCTCGGCCTTCCTGCTCCTCCCTTTGCTCTTTGCTCTTCCTCCATTGATGTAGGGTGTCTCACTCAGCCTGTCCCTCCCTGTGCAACCCTGGTGTGGCCACAGTGATCCTCCTCTGTTCTGGAAAAATTCCACTCTAACTGAATCCCACAAATGGGTTGTCTCATTATCTGCAGCATAAGCAAAGTAGTGTGTGCTTTCCTTGGTCAGCTCCCATCACTTATTGCCTCGAATTGTGTGGGTAGATGGATAATCCACATCTGTTTCACCATCTCAGCTTGTCTTCTTGGTGGAGAACAGGCTAACAGTCTCTCCTGTTTAGAAACTCATACAC